AAGTGTAACACAAAAACACTGTAGCACTGAAATAAAAACTATGTAATGATTCTTCTAATAACTCTTTCAAAAGTCAGTGGAGTAATGTGTCATTTTAACTGAATTTTTTTTTTTAATTTTGAATATTAAATATTAATTTGAATATTTATTTTTAGAGATTTATAGAATTTATTAGTATATTAGGACTCAAGCTGCAATTTTGTGCATCATTAAAAGAGACAAAATCCACACCAGTAGGATTTTGTGCATTGTTGCTGTCACAGATTTCAAAATGGTAAGTGAACTATATACTCAAAATGATAGTTCTTCAAGGGTTCTTTGGTAAAGAAAATGGTTCTATATAGTACCATGACCACTCAAAGGGTTATTTGCATCATGAAAGGGAAAACAGTGCAGCAGTTGCACACTGGCACCTGCCCAGGCATGTGAACATAACTGCTACATCATTTTAGGTGGAATGGGAAGTGAGAAAGAGAAGCTAACTTCAGCTTCACCTGAGCTCTGTCCACTGTATGAGGTTCTGTTGCAATTAGCAAACCATGCTGTCTTACTTGAGGTGGGGTCGCTGGTTTTAAGCCCAAAATCCCTACAGATATACACTTGGATGTAACATGTATAATTTGTCTTGTGCTTACATGTGTTAGTTTATACATCAGCTCTCAGTAACCGGTCTAAAACTCTACCAGTCCACTGGGAATTCTCCCGACTCTCCTGATGATATACTCCCGCACTGTAGATTCTTTTCAGCAAAACGTCATTATCAAGGATGTTTGAATTTTTGGATACTGCTGTGCCTAAAGGTACTTAATGTTACTTAACATGTGAGTCTTAACTTAATCAGTTAGTTCAGCTTCTGAATCCAAAGATGTTTTTGGGCTGACTATTTTTTTTCAGCAGACAAAAAAACTGTAAACAAACAAACAAACAAAAACAGTAAAATTCCAAATGATAGCTGGCTTTACATATGATATTACAGCCCCAACCTGAACCCCTACTTTGCAAGACTCTTTCATTTGTATTTGTTCCGTAGAGTTGTAATTACCCGATGGACTACAACTACCATAAACACTAGAACCTAACCTGCATTGCAGTGTGCATGACTACACTGAGGAGATGGTTAGGACACTGGGAAAACATCTGATATTGCATACACCAAGCAGGGAGAATAGTTCATGAATTGCATAACTCACTGAAACTATATGAGCACTAGGACTTAACAGAATATTTGAATAGATATATGTAAACTACACATAGTCCTCTCACAAATGTGACTGATATTTTTGTATTTGCAGGCTTAGTTTCTGGTAGCACAATAATATTGGCAAATTGTACAGTCCTGCATGTACAGCAAAGTTGAAGCTCCGTTTTCTATTTGTTGTTTCATCCTTTAAAATGTTATATTATTTTTATACATTGTGCCAACCATTTCCATGCCATGACATGTTGGCACAGATTACATTCATAATATTCAAAGTGGCGTACAAAAAAGATTGTAAAAAATGAGCGCACACAAGTTTCACTGACAGTTTCATGTTTGCTTTATGTCTGATCAAACTCACATTTAGGCCCAATCCCATTTCTTCTTTTTACCCCTACCCCTTGTTTTCAAGTGTCACCCTAAACCATTGGAACTGAGTTACAAGGGGTAGTGGTTGAAATCTTGCCCTGTGAAATGGGACAACCCTCTAATATTAAAAACACTTTGCTTCATTAACAGGCTACTAGTGGTGCTCTGTAGGCGACCCGGCCCGTCTTCAGTGATAGCAGAGAAGAGAGAAGTTCAGCAACCTCAGTGCTGGGTTTTAGTTACATTTAGGGCATCATATGCTTTCAAAGAGGGGGTATAAGACAATTATTTATTATTGCCCACCGCTAAATCTTTGGTGATACGAAGCTGAAGTCAGCTATTCACCAAGTTCTTGTTTGAATATTCCCGTTCCACCTTAAATGGTGCAGCAGTTACATTCTGGCGCTTCAGGCGTCAAAACTGCTGGACTATTTAAGGTGGAACGGGAAAGTTAGCTAGCTAGCTACTGAGACATTAGCATGCCATTAGCATTTTTTATGATTGTTACGAAGAAAACAACCATAATACACGACATTAAACAACATTAAACCAAAATAATACAATGGTTATCGCAATTTTTTAATGGACCATCTTGCCGTTTTTTCTTTTTTTCTTTTGTACTTTGGACTGTACCTCTGAAAAACATCCGTTTGGAGGTCCATGAAGCCCTAAACACTAACCCTAGACGTGAACGCGCAAAACAGAGGGCTAAGGGCTAAGTGGTAGGGGCAAGGGGTGAAATGGGATTGGGCCTTAGTAGCAGTGCATGTAAATTTGAGTGAAGTATTTTACAACCTGAGAAATACATGATTACCTTCTACAGTAGACTATAATAATACAGCTCAAGTAGGCAATGCTTTAGGAAAATTCTGTTCATTCGCATTTTGTTCATTTTGTTCACAAATTGTTGTGATTTTAACACAATTATGTTATTTAAGCTCTGGCATGTGAAGGAGGGCAATGCACGGCTTGTTTGACCTCAAATTTTTCCTATATGAAGACAACCACTGGCTCATGAGCCCACTGAATGCTTTGCATTGCACTACTGAAAGATCTGCATGAATTAAGGCGTGTCTCATGTAAACTATGTAAACCCTACAAATCTATGTAAACCTGTTTGAGGGCAAACTGGGGTGTGTCCATTTTAAATAAGGTAATGATGACTTGTTTCCAAGCACTGAAGCTGAATCATCAGTCAAATCACTGCTTGTTTCAACACTGAATAACCGCTTCATGAAACAGAGTAGTTTGTACATCATTCAGGACAGTGAAATTGTTTTTACACAACTTAGGCCATATCTGTTTTTTTTTTGTTTTTTTTCTCTTTAGAGATTTTAACCTTGGTGTAGTTGGATTATCGTAATGTGGCACACTGACATTATGACACAGACAATTTTTCACAGAAGACAATTTTTCACACAGAACTTACAGAAAGCCCATACGTTTGTTCAGCTGATGTCCAGTGCTGTGTTTTACTCTCTAAAGCTCTTATAGTGTGCAGGAGAACAGAGAAGGTCCCAGGCGTGGAGGAAGGCCGTGTGAGAACGAGCAGCAGGCAAGATCTTAAAAGGAAGGTGTGGCTGTTCTAATGGTTTGACTAACAGTCGCAAATTCCCTTTAAATCCAGTCTGCTGGGAAGTCAGGCCTTTTTTTCTGCCGTACAGATGACTCGCTCCACTTGTATGATTTCGGCTCCTGGAGAAACACTGAACACTTACCTGAAGACAATTCCCCAGCTGTGTTTGTAGAACACAAAGTAGCCCTTTAAAACCAGTAGATTTTTCATACGAATGATTTATTAGTCCCTAAGACAGCTTTCTTAGTGAAGGTCACTTAATGACCTGTTCATTAAAACCAACGTAAAAGTAAATTTGACATATGACGTGTATTATTGGTCTGTAAAGCCTAATGCTGGATTGGTTACATGGTGTTACCTGGTGAGGTACCATAATTTAAGTGTTTATATTAAGGATGCATCAATACCTTTTTTCCTACAGACCCAGTACGAGTACATGTTTTACAGCAAATACCGAGACTGATACCATACTGTGTAATCTATTTAGAATTAAGGAGTTCTTAGTGTAAATGAGTGCAGTGTACCTTAACAGTTAAATCAAAATGTAGCTGATTTTAGCTGATTTTAAATGCCTGTTTTTAGCTAGCTATGTTACGTTAAGTTACCCTGGATCGAGTAGCTTGTCAGAAATGCACTTCTGTACAGCTGTGAGTAGTTGTATGTTTTATAGTTTTGATCCTGTTCTCTATCTGACTCTTTCAACAACAGTCTCTGTAGCACAGTGACAGCAGATGTCACATTTGAGGCTTATGCAACTGAAGATTTATACAAAAACGCTCTGTCTGATTGACTTGCTACATGAATTGCAGACCCTACAGACAGCTCTGTTTATGAACAATTTCCAGTAACACTGTTTCATTCAAAACAACACACTGTGCACACAAGTACTGAGCAAAAATGTTCAGAAAGCTTTGCTAAGTTGCAACACTGTGCACTAAAACTAAAAGCAGGTGGTGAGGGATGATATGGTCTCTCTGCAGCCTATTCTACAAAGACAATATAAACAAAATTCACTATTTTAATGTCTATACCCCACAATTCTATTGATCCAAGCAGAGTAAAGTTGGCATATACAGAATATGCTGCAAATGTTGAGTTTTTTGCCCCCTTTTTTTTAGCCTATGTGGGTTCACCCATATTGGGGAAGCGGTTGTAGTTGTGCATGCTTAAAGACAAGCTAAAACCGCTTAGTGTGTGCCTGGCAGGACATCAAAAACACTTTGCTGTGTGAGCGGACCCTCCTTCACTGCCAGCTTGAATCATTTGTTCATTAGCGCAGCAGTGTACACGAGGTTTACGTCACATGCTCTCAGGTGGTATCGGATGCAGTGCATTTTTGTAAGCACTAGTACGAGTAAACAAACATGGTATCTGGTCAATGCCTGATACCCATATCTGTGCTACGATATCTGTAGTACAGTAATGATTCCAGAGCAAATTGCCTTCTGAATTTGCTGAACCCAGAGCTCTGTCAATAGTAGTAATCCTGTTCGAAACAACCTCAATGTAATGTAATAACAAAACCTGTTGATACACACAGCTGTACTACGTGTTGTTATTGTCATTGAGTGTCGTGCTGATATACACATTTGGGCTATGACACTTCAGTCTGGGCTGTCTGTGATAATATGAGGAAATTACACAAACACTTTGTTCTGTACGAGTCAGCCAGTCAAATCTCAGAAACTCTATTACAAAACCTTCTCCAGAAGTAATCCAGTTTACATAGCATCAGATTTTAAGACACCTTTCTCAGCGTATGTCCTTTAATGGATTGTACACTGAAAACACCAAAAAGCAGATTTAACACACATGTATTTTTGGTCCCCTATGTGTACTTTTATGGTCTGTACTCACGTTCACAATGGCCTCTTTGGTCTGGGACATGTCTGATATGACTCCATCTGTGATGATGAGGAGAACGAAGTACTGCGAGCCGTCCTGCACAGCTGCTGCGTACCTTAAGAGATAGCAAAGAGACACTTTGTTACTATTTCTATGTACCCATCCTGTTAAAATGTGCTTTTTTATGTTTCAGGTTCATCAATGTGGATTTTGCAGGAATAGTTTTCTTTCTTAAACTAATGTTAAAAGCACATCTTGAAGCTCTTTCGCCCCAGAAGGTTTGGATGAAATGCTTAATCCCAAGTAGTACTTCTTTTGAAGTATTTTGAAAAAAAAGGCAGGATCTCAGAAACTTTCTTTTCAATATGTTAAGCTAATTTCGGCGAATAAAGAAAACGTTCATTTATTTAAAAGATTTTGAAAAGTGTCCCCAAACCGTTGACGAGCAGTGTACGCTAATGGGTTGCAATGCAAAATACAGTAGTGTCTAAATGTTCCTAGAAAGCTGTGTGCTTAAGTGACTGATTTTACTCCAGATTTATTTTACATGCTTTTTCCCTCTCAACCTCGCCAGCTTTAACAAACATCTTAGAATGTAAATGACCCAGCGCCATGTGGATTTGTATCATCTATGTGTCTCTCTCCTATTTGTTTAAGCGCAATCAGGCTCAGTGGGTTTCTGCCTCTCGCAGTGCCAGGGCTCTGGGTGGCACATCATGCTTTAATTAAGCAAGTCTAATTCAAGTCTATGGAGATGGCGTTTTTAATTACTGTGAAGAGGATGCATAATCAGATTAAAAAAGATTTGCTTGTGCGATCCCAAGGAATGAATGGAGGGTGTGGAGAGACTTCACACAATCATTTATGCCTGCCTCCTTTATTGGATACACCCTCCCTGTGCTGAGAATTGGTCACACAGGGAATACCAACGTGCACAGAATAGAATTAGAATGGCTTAGATGGACACAGGCCACTGTATAGCATCAGTCTGGGCTGATGCATTACTGATGCATTTCTATGTTTTAACTTATTACAAATAAACTATTTGGACAAGTTAAATAGGAGTTTCTTACAATAAGCACTGATTACCTGGTGTGTTAGGATGTTAACTTTAGCATGTGGGGCTCAAATAGGGAGAAATGTCAAACATTCAAAGACATTAATAGACCTCTAAAGTTGTGAATCATTCTGCATGCTGATATAAGGACTAAAGGTGCCATTTTTGTTTAGGGTTAAAATGAATAACGTTTATCAAAAATCACCCCCATTGCATCCTGTGATACCCTTTGGTATGTCCCAAAGGTTTGTGTCCAGCTGTTTAATTTAATTCAAGTGACTAAAACTGAAAAATATGAAAAGCAAAGCTGTGTTTTCATACCTACAAAAGAAAAACGCTCTACATCATATCCGTACAAACACTTCTGATAAATGGGAAGAGCCTACACAGAAATCTTCCACGTTGAGCAACTTCTCATTGCTATTTTGTTTTATTTTATGGCTGCACTTTTTCATTTCTGATCATAAGAGTGTGTAGACAAAATGCTCAGCAAACGTCCACTAATCAGCCAAGGCATCTTATGACTGTGTGTCTCAAGCTGTTTTTTTCTTAGATAAGACAAATGTATGTTTTTCTTCACTAGTCAAGCAGTACCTGCTGTCTTCTGTCGATTATGTAGCTATAGTCAGGCAAAAACAGAAACACGTGAGCAGTCACATGACTTTAATCCATGGCCATAACAAAGGTGGGGGTGCTGGAGGGGCCTAGGTCCTCTCACTTGGAAGCCAAACTTTAACCCTAACCCCAGACTTCTGACTGCTCAAAAGAAAAAAAGGTTCCCTGATATCAATGAAAATATGATAAATTTGTGATCCAAAATGTGATACAGGATGAACCCAGTGGTGCTGAATTGTATCCTCATGCCTTAATTTCCACCTTAAAAAAATAAAAGTGACCCTCAAAGCTCCTCTTTGATCTTCATCTTTGATGCCGCTAACATTACGGCAGTATTTACATGGCTGCATTGCCACCATTTTCCAAAGCCAATGTGTAAGCAGAGCAACCCCCTCCTCCACTGTCTTTGCAGATTGCAGGAACTGTGCTAGTTCCTACCATAGGCTACTACTTACTTAGCTATGGCGAGCTCGGTAAGCAGTAAAGTTGACTGTGGTAAAGAAAACAAAGTGCAATACTGTGGAAAAAAATGAGAAAATCACTTTCTTCAACAAACTGTCCCAGATATCTATGCCTTGTACTTTAAAAGGTAGGACACCTCGTTAGTTAGCCTTTACCCACTGTGGTATGATATTGGCTGCTATAGTATCTAGTTAAATGTGAGGTCAGTAATCATGTATTGTGTTTAAAATATATTTTTCTCACTTGCTTTTGTTCCCCCGCCAACCCCCAACACCCTTTGTTGTTTTTATCATGGCTTCTGTATCCGATGTGTCAAAATTCACATAAAAAGCGTTGATGAAAAAACTAGCAACTGTCATTTTAGTTACAAGTCACTAAATAATTGAATTGCACTCCTGGGCTTTTAATAGACACCACAAAGTTCAGTGAAAGTGAAAGTATGCCTATTACTGTAACTAGCCATAGCTTCCACACTTATAAACAACACTAGCTACTTAAATTGTTGTCTAGTGCAAACTGTTCTTTAGTAAAGGCAATGAGCCTGACCATGAGTTCTATACAGAACCGTTTCATGCTTCAGATTGATAGAGAATGTACTGTATATGATTCTTATAGAATCTTTTTGAATATGGGTCTATATAGCACCAAAAAGGGTTCTTCTATTGTTACAAGCCTGACATTGTAACAATAGAAGAACCCTTTTTGGTGCTGTATAAAACCATTTTTAACTACACTGTAATCCCGCATTTTGTTTTAACTCAAATATATTAAGTCTGTTGTACATAAAATTCAGTATATCCCACATATTACTCAACAATTTTTTGATGATTTTGTACACTCAAATGGCATTTTTGAGTTGAATTAACTTATTGCTATTTAGTTTAGTCTGTTGCTATGGCAACTTTGAAACCCTACATTCAAAAAATGACATTTCTGCTGGTTTTAATTGTTTCTTTCTCATTAAAGTTGCTGAACAAATGTGTGAAACTGAGTGAAGCTAAGTATACTGTGAAATACAGTTACGTTTGTTTTGTTAACACGATCTCGTTAAACGTATATTTCTTTCCCATTGGCTCCTGGCTCCATCTATTTGCATATTGAGTTTTTCTTTCCATTTGTTTTACTCACCGTCAGTGTGCTTTCATTCCATCCAGGCTGCCTTTCCTCAGGCGCATGTTTTTTATATATGCGTTACTCAGCTGCCTGACATTGTGTTGATGGCTAAGAGGGAAGGTTATTGTTCTCTCTGCTGATGAGTGGGTATTTGTGTTGGTCAGTGACCATGTTCACTGTAAAGGTTAACTCTTTGGTGTTTGTCGAAGTGTTCACTATCACTTAATTAGAAAAAGATTCTCAATTGCCTAATGAAACGTAGTTAAATTGCCTGTTTCAAGACGTTAAGTTAAAATAATTAGAATTTGTGAGTTGCACAAACCTGTTTAAGTTAGCCTAACCCTAAATTATAGTTATTCTAACGCTAGTTTCCATTACACAGTACTTAATTTTTTTAAGGCAACCGGTTTCCTCAATTTTTTTAAGTAAATTCAACTTATCCGGGCTTACAGTGTATATACATCACATTCTCCATCAATCTGAAGAACAATTTCACTGTGCAAAGAACCATTTAAGCATGACTTTGCCACTGAACCACTGCCTTTACTGAACAACTTTTGAAGAACCATCTGTTTTAGGTGTGTGGTATACTAATTGTAGTGTACAGCCACATAATTATCACAGCTCGCTGGTTTGTGTGGGGTATTCCAAATCTTATGGTGTCATTTAAATATGCAGCAGTGTTAGCTTGATTGTAGCATGTAGCAATATTCCTATTACGCCTTCTTCAACAAACTCGAAATTCAAATGACACTGTGATATTTAGTGAAAAATATACATAGGACAAAACATAGGCTTTGGAACATGCCAGTTTTAACAGAGTGTGACGGGATGATTTTCAAAAACAGCATTCAGTTTTTCCATAGACAAAAATGATTTGGACCCACTACATTCCCAGATGTTAACTTCAAAACAACAGCACATCATTAGAGGCCTGTTATTCAGTGTTTTGGTGCTGGGAAATTACCTGTTAATGTAAAAATTCGTCCAGTTGGCTATGGTGGGACACAACCAAACTCGCTGTTTTAACACAAGAATAAAACTGACCCTAATAGTGAACAGGTTTGCATTTGGAGCCTACATTATGGGGAATAAATACAGTTTTGTGAAAAGGTTCCTTTTTTATTCCAAATCAAGCCAGACCACATTCCATACCATTTGTTTTTGCCCTCGAAAACAACATGAATTCCCTGTTGGTTGAATGAAATATGGCTTATCCCATTAACCTCTGTATGACAGTCAATTGAAGTTGCTTGTAGTAACATTTCTCACACATTTAAAAGCCCAGTGCCCTCAGAGAGTCGACCGCAGTGTGTCTGTGATGCCTCTGATTCTGAATGCTGGTGTGAAGTGAAACTACTTTCTTCAGATTCTTGGCACGTGGCTGCGTATCTTTTTGAGTCTATTATATAGCCAAAGGGGGAGCACATGGTGTGGAAAGAAAGCATGATGGACAGGGAAGCGGTCTATGATGGAATGTTACAGGGAGAGAAGCTCACAATGAAGCTGTCGGAAATCATTTCAAACACCTTTGTGCTGCGGTGGCCTTGTGATAAGACACTCAGTTACACTCAGTTCCTGTTTACTCTGATCTAAGGTACCAGATTGTATCAAAAGCACCATGCAGCTGTTTGAAATAATTAAAAGAGGCCATATCCGACGTAGCTTTGTGTACCAAAAACAGTCATATGACTATTTTCTACCTCTCTTTATCCCTTAGAATGAAACGGGCTGTTTTTATTACCGTACCATTAAGACTGCTATATGGTAAATGAGCTCTGTTGGCTGCCCTGTATAGTGTCTCATTCAGAAAGCAGTGCAGGCTGAAACACTGTTTATAATTTCAATAAAACTGGGTGGGTGGATATATGCAAATACACTGGTTTTCATGACATCACAAAATTGTCACAATTAATTCAAATGGGGTGTTTTTGCCGCTACCATACATGGGCTGCAAAGATGGGGTGTGAACATGCACTCAATAATCCAATCATAATCGGTTTTTTTTGCAGTTATCCGATTTTTCAAATGGTCATGTAAACACCATACTCCGATCTAGAAACCCGATAAAGAGAGCTGGATTTTAGCTCATTAATCAGATTTCTCAGTGCATGTAAACTCTTACTCTGATTTCTCTCAGATTTCTCAGTCTGCAGATGCACAAAAACAGACGGCGGTACCGGAAATAAGCAAGATGGCAGCAAGACACTTTGGAGTGCTGCTGAAACCAAACACGAAATAAAGGATTTAAATATTCTTCATCTTCTAGATGATGCATGTTCATATTTTCAAATAAAGTGGCACGATGTTAAAAAAAGACGCGACATGAAGCTCGAGTTTTATGTTATGTTTACGGCATGTCTTCTTCTGTGAGTTTATTGGCTGGTTGCAAAGCAGAAGAGTTTTCCACTACCTGTGCATGTAAACGTGTTGATCGGATGACTGATCCGATTATCGGATTATTAAGTGCATGTAAACACACTCAATGTTCACATATTATATTATTTCAAACAGATCAAGGAAAATTCAGTTTTCCATGCTAAAGGCCACTTAAACAGAGATTTTGTTCCATTCATTCAGAAAATGACATTTATATAGCATGTCAAACTTGCAGAAATGCTTCTCTATGTACTGTGAATAGAGTACGCAAGCTGACATTTCATGTGAAAACAAAAAGAAGTGAACTTGTTTTGCATCTCGAATAAAAGCAGTGTTCAAATTATGCAGTTAGATAGGAAAGGAAAACAATGTCAAAGACCTGCTGGGATTAACTGAAGAACACGGACGCAGAAATTGTAAGGAAACTGTGGGTGCGGAAACACTCATAAAGCATTCATACTGAGAACATTACTTACGTATTTAAAACCAGTCAGAAATCCCTTTAATTTCCTTTGATTATCACTCAAGGCAAGTTGTTTGAGGCTGTTTTCACACTTACTTTGTTTACTAAAGTCTGCACCAAAGTTTAGGTTCTTGTGACAATGTATCCTTTTCATTTAGTTTGGTTGGTCACAACAGCTAAAGTGCACTGAATTATATATGTGGGTGTTTGTTTGTTGGTCCAGAATTTTGCAGGGGGATACAAGAGCTCTGTTACTCTCACATTTGCCACCATTTGAACCAAAAACTGCATTAAAATAGAGACACTTGACATCTATGTGTATCACAGTCAAATCAATACTACTACTACTACTGATAATAAACCTCACTTCATATCTGCTTTTATGACTGGTTTGTCTATTTTAATGTAACCAGTCAGGTCGCTGATGCAATACATTCTGTAATCCATGTGCCAAAGACATTGCTTCGCTATTATTTCATTGCTGGTCTGCAGTTACTAGCTGCAGCTCGTGCTGCAGAGAAGATATGAGCATCTGTAAAGAGTCAGATGTTAAAATAGGCAGATTATGGGAGGTGTGAAAGCACTCATAACTGTCTATTTGCAGATTTCATTGTAAAAGATATAATTCATATACTTTGAATGAGTGCTTTGTAAAACGTACCTTGCCACATGGTTGACAACAGGGGCGAAGTTTGTGGGTCCATAAAGCTGGACAGTCTTTAAGCTCTGGTGGTAAGCCTCCAGAATCCCCTCGATGCCGTTACAGTAGGGGTTTTCAATATTGCCGTTCTGTAAAGAAGAAATCAGTCACACATTCATCTCATAAGTGAACAGTGCAAACAATGTAAAGCTGTTTGTATTGCATTATTTTCTGTACTACTCAAAATCGTACTACTCAAAAAATCGTACTACTCAAAAGTCAGAGACCATCTTTCATTTAATCAATTTTCAGTCATTTAAGTCATTTTCAGGAGGATATTTCTGAGGTGATTAGATATAAGATGTTCTATATGTATAAGGAAGGAAAAACTCCAAAAAAGGAAGTGAATAAACAGGAGTTTCCAAAACTGGAGTTCAAAAAAAGATTGAATGACGCAAAGAAAACGGGACTCCTAACAGCCATACAAGAGCTGGTAGACCACCAAAACTGTCACCATCAGATAAACAGCACTAAAAGCTTTCATCTTTGAGAAATAGTAAAAAATCTACAGGTGTTTCTGTCTATCCTCCCACTGTGACAGGACAATGCAAGGCTTTGGGTCTGAAAGGATGTGTAGCTGTCAAGAAGCTGTTACAGAGAAAAGGAAACAGACAAAAACAAAGAAAATTTGCACCAGATTGAATTTGGACTGAAGTGGGACATTTTGAATGTGGATTAAAGTTTAATGAACTGCTGCGTCTAAATTTGTAATTGGGATTACTTGCAGAAAATGCAGCCAATTTCTAAGACTGAACTTTGGAGGAGTGGAAAAATATCTCTGTAGATTTCTTTGAAAAACTAGTAGCGGGTCTCCACAACATTTTTATTTAATTGAAGTAAAGTTTCACCATCTTGGCTGCAAATATGTCTCAGTATGTGCTAATGTCCTAATATAGGCTAAAAAATATAATATAAATGAAAACGCAGACTTACTTTGCTCTGCTTTAAGCTTTAGCTCAGCTATAGCTGCTTTTCTCACATCTCCGGCAGGAAACTTTTCCACAAAAGTAAAATAGTTTCTTGTAAATTTCTCCCAACATTCGCCTTTTATGAGGCTGAAGTCAGCTTCTCATTCGCCAGCCTCTTGATCGAATTTTCCCACTCCAGCTTAAATGGTGCTTGAGGCGCCAGAACTGCACTATTTAAGGTGGAACGGGAAAATTCAAACAAGCTGGCAAATGAGAAGATGACATAAGCCAGTTTCTCAATGCAGATTAAAACAAGCAAACAAATCCATTGGTCTCCAAATTATCGATGTTCATCTTAAATTTTTCTCCTTTCTATTTCGTTAGCTACATTCTAGGCAAGATTGTTGTCTGTGTTGCTATGGTGACGCGCCAATCTTCAGGGTTAAAGGGCGAATTAGCAGTTATACATTAACTTTAGTGTTTCAGCCATTTATTGTTAAGACTGTGTTTGAACAATCAGTAGAGCTTTATTTTACTGCAGAGGAGGATTATTTTATTTTTGCCTACAAATCTAATTCTGCTGTGGAGCTGCAACAGGACTTGACTTTTGCAAAATGCTGTATGTCAAACTGATTTAAATAATTTTTTCCTCATTTCAATGTGTCTTAAATTCTGACAGAAAAAAACACTCCTGATATGCGTTTAAAGTATGTTACATACATTTATAAATTAATTAATCCTACAGATTGGAGCTGCTGGCTAAAAGCACATGGTAACTCCACAAACGTGCTGTTAATGCGTAATTAAAGAAACCTGTTTGTAAGTAAAGGGACAGGGAGTCTATAGGAGTTTATCATGAGCTGACAGACACTGGAAGTTGTGGGAGCAGGGGAGAGGGGGTGGAGAGAGAGGCTCTGATCAATTTAGGCTTCTCTGAGCCTTCATGGGCCTACAGAGAGAACTCAAATCCATAATCCCTCTCTGAGCAAGCATTACTCACTGGGTGAAATTCAATTTCCACATCATAGCAAACACACGCAGCTCCACCACCTCCATTGTTAAGGCGGATGTAGTTTTTTGATCATCCAACGTAGCGGGACAAGGAACAGGGATGTTTGGTTTTGATAAGGAGGAAGGGGAATGCATTAGACATGTGACCTACATCCAGAGAGCTTTCTGAGTAAAAGATGCAGGCGCGGTGGTCCACAAACTCACCAGAGGAAACTCGTGAGACACGCGTCCATCAGGGGGCAGTTTGGCTCCAAAGCCCAGAGCGGGAAACATCTTATCGCTGTCATAATCCTGGATGATCTCCCCCACAGCTTTGAGCGCCATGGCGTAGGCGTTCATCTGGTACGGGTTCATGTAGTGGAGGGACGTGGACTGGGACGGGTTACCTACAGATCAGAGTTAGTGGTATAGTATTAAGGGCTATAATTTTTGATAACGTAGTATTGACTCTTCCATAAAATCTCCCACACCACTGATCTCACTTTGTCATTATATGGTAAAGCAATGAACATTATTGGCTCTACCTAATAAGCCACGTACTTAGCAGCTTGGGGCACCGTGGCCTCCAGGGGCCCCCAAACCACTTCTGGGTTATTACTAAGCCATTATGTTGTCTAATGCTGCGTTTGAGTGGTGTTTCACTCTTCCGCCAGTGAAAAACACTAAACTTGGCTGTGAATGGGAAAAAGATATACCTGACGCACTTCTATGTGATCCATGTGCTTTTTAATAGAAGTGGAACACATTTTCTTGCTTTCTTTCACCGTGTGTTGGGCGCATCTTTCAACAAGCATCAGAATGTAGTAGGTACAACATTCAGTGAGCACCCGAAGGCAGCAGAAGATGCTCAAGTGAGGGGAAAAAGCGACTGTTTAGTCATGTCTCAAAAAAGACCGTACACATCTGGAGGCAAAAAAGGAATAAAGGTGAGAACGCTTGAAGATAAAGGTTTGTTTTAGTTTTTTTGTGGTGTCAACTTTATGCCATTTTTGGCTTGTAGTTGGTGAAAGAGAAGTAGTGGATCTGGTCACTGTCTAATGAAGCAGGTTCAACTCAAAAAAACAAAAGAAACAGCTGTGATTAACAGCTTTTACTGATGTTGGTAAGGTAAAGCGTTAAATATCTTTTTGATGTTTGTATTTAAATAGTGGTCAAAGTTGATTTACACATCACTACTTTCTGTTTGCATTTAACATACTCTCCCAATTTTTTGGGATTGGGATTTGTAGTTTAGAAGGCTATAGAAAGTGAGAGTGTGTGATTTGAGTAGCTATATGGAACTAGCACTTCACTTTATTTGCCCAAGTGAAAAAACAGACTTGCATTTTGATGGATGCGCATCTAGATCAGCCAGAGTGAATTTAAACACTGATTAAAACGTAAGTGTATCAGACAGACAACTAAAACGCTTCAAATATTATTGTTTTATGGGTGATTTTGAGCTAAATGAGGTGTTCATACAGTGGAAAGACAAAGACTAGGCTGGGTTGTCTAGACGTAAGAGCATTAGATCATTTAATTGATCATTCATTCTTGAAATTTTGGAAACTGAAGAATACATATAATCTTGAGGATGTTCTACATTATCAGTACATTCAAAGCCCTATTTGAGCTGGATTAGTTTTACCTGGGAAGGTGCTGTAATTTGAAAGTTTTTGTATGTGTAGTGCAAAAACAAAGGCTAAAAAAGGCATTAGGCCATGCTTTACAAACACAAACTATTACAATAAAGTTTCCGCAGAACTGAAAAAGAACCAAAACTGATAACATTTCTCAGTTTAAAGCTAATTAAACAGCTTGTCTCTTTTATGAGGGTTTCACAGGGGTCATTTTCAAACTGTAATCCTACAGTGCTGTTGCCATCTATTCAGAACACAATATGTAAGAACTTTTCGGATACCTCCTGGGCCACTGGAAGGCTACTGAAGTTTGCTTCCTACTGCGCTGTTGAATTCAGAAGGTTTGAACAGCTGAAAGGCATCAAAACAGCCTCGGAGCATTGTTTACGTTGTTTGTTCGGTTGCAACAAACAAACTCAGAACAACAATCCGGCACTACGGGCAGCCCTCCACAACAAATCCCTTCGAACGCAACCACGCACTTCCTCATATTTACATGCACATTGTCTTGGCTGTGCCACATTAGCCATGAATTATTAGGAGAGCTTTTTTTCCTGCTGCAGCTACTTGCGCAAGAACAGTAATTATTAGTAATTGCAGTAAGTGCAGCCTGTCGAGCGACGGGGGGCCCATTCACAGGCAGTGGGTGTGCCTAAGCCGTTCGGCAGCCTATTCTCTAGCCGCCCCCCAACCCAGCACGGCCAGGCACCCTGCTTAGTGTTCTGTTCAGCCAGGCAGAGCAGGGAGCTGCCCATTCACAGCCATTAGAGCTCTACTGAAAGCAAGAGACAAGATGTTAAATAGCTCTGCTTAGAGGAGGACTGGTTAAGGAGTTTGGGAAACCACTTAACTGTTTTTTTTTAAATGCTTACTGGCTACTTTTTTTGAAAACCATTTAATCACTTACCATTAGAGGCGGTGAAATCAATGGCCACCGTGAAATTGATTTGGGTCCTGCACAGAGTTGCATGGAAGACATGAGAAATAAAACAAAATATCAGTAAAATTGTCCCATTACAAAAATAGTTCAGAAAAAAAGGTACATATTTCTATGGACATACGAACACATTAGGGCTTTCACAACTACACAAATAATAATGAAAAAAACATCAATTAAAGATTCCTTTCATGATCATTCTGCAGTGCAATTTGTATTATAATGATGCATATTTTAAATTCTTCTAATCTCTGTCACAGGAAGAAACAGAGGCATTTCCATTTATATGCATTTTTGCCACATTTTTTAAAATTATAAACGCTTTGCAGTTTATCTCCTTTCTGAGTATTTTCGAATCTCTGAAAGGCTATGCATTTATTATTGCTCAGTATATACATCATATGGCTAAAAGATTTTGGCACCCCTCCTATTCATTGAGTTCAAGCATTTAAGCCAAATGCATTGTTAACAGGAGTATGAAATCAAGCACATAGCCATGCAATCACCATAGACAAACACTGGCAGTAGAATGTGTCGTATTGAAGAGCATAATGACTTCAAACATAGGACTGTCATAGCATGCCATCTTTGCCACGTACTAGGTCAGATCGTTAAATTCCAGCCCTGCTAGATCTGTCCTGATCAACTGTAAGTGCTATTATTGTGAAATGGAAGCATGTAGGAGCGACAACAGCTCAGCCACGTTGTAGTAGACCATGCAAACTCACAAAGCGAGGCAGGTAGCATGTGCAAATTGCCTATCCTCTGTTGCATCACTCACTACAGAGATCCAAACTGCCTCTGGAAGCTACAAAAGCATAGTAACTGTGCATCAGGAGCACCACATATTGGGTTTCTATGGCCGAGCAGCTGCACAGAAGCCTAGGATCACTATGTGTAATGGCAAGTGTTGGCTGGAGTGGTGTAAAGTAGTGGAAAAGCATTTTAGTGATGAACCATATCTCACTATCTGGCAGTCTGATGGGTTGGGCAGATGCCAGGAGAATGCTACCAATTGAAATGCGTAGTTCCAAAAGTAAAGTTTGGTGGAGGAGGGATAATGGTCTGGGGCTGTTTTTCAGCATTAACACATCCTCTACAGAGAACATAAATATTTCATTTTTCTGCACATCTTAGACCACAATTTATATGTATTTGCATTTAACATATGGGCAAAAATAAACATACAATATAAAATGTGCCATAACTTTTGCACAGACCAAATTTTACATCTTATTTGTTTCAAAATATGTTAAATTCAGCAATTAACAGTAACTGTACATTAAAATGCACAGAAGTGTGTTCTGTGTAGAAAATGTACTTATTTTGACCTGAAAAAAAAATAACCAAACCTTTGCATGCATGATATATATGACATATACACTCATAGGTTGGAACAAGCAGACACTGTGCTCACTGGCTGTCAGTGATGAAAACTGGAAGCTGTGTTCTTTATAAAGAAATCATAAGATTTTCATGTTCAGGTTAATGTTTGGGTTCACTGAACTGTTACTGAATAATCTTGCTGAAATGCTGAAAGTAATAAACACATTCTTATGATGTTTATTTTGTTTACTAATATAACTACAATAAAATGTGCTACAAATAGAAAAACGTTCTTTAGAGTCAAATTTGAGCAATGAAGACAAATGTGATTAACCGTAATTAACTACAGAAACTACTTAACAAAAACAATAAAACACAATTAAATATTTTAATCATTTGACAGCCTTAATCAGAACCTGATTGCTAATGTAATTGATAGTGACAGGCCTGAAACACATACACTAGAGCAAAGTAACATGTACACACAAAGGCAGATGTACACAGTCTTGCTAAGTGATGAGTAGCATCCACTCCAGCTTCACAGTCTGATTGGAACTGATGGGATGGGCACTTACATTGAACTCACATTACCAGTTTTATTGAGCTTCAGCAGCAGCCCACTTCAGCCTCTGAAGTGTAGTGGCCACCTGCTCACTACTCTGACCTGCTCTTGTGTTGACTATTTCACCAGCAGCGACCGAAAAGAGAGGTTTGAACCCTTATCAACCTTTATCTAAGATCCAGGTCACATATGCTGGCAACATGTACATTCTAATACATAATTACATACATATTCTATTACACAAGTAAATGCAAAAAAACAGCAACGCTGCTGCCCACTGTAACTATGATAGATTATTATTACACAAGGCTAAGAAAACCTCATCCACAACTCATAAAGGTGTTGCATATACTGTAAAGAATAACTATAATTTCTTCAGAGAAGGCCTCATGATTTCTTGGATCTAAAAAAGCATGTCTGTAATTTTTGGTTTATTTTTATTCAATAGAATCATTATTGTATTTTAACACTGCAAGTATTACAGTATTACTTTTGTTTTATTGTTAAGTTCTGGGTGGAAACAAAAGGGTTAAATACTTTAAATGCCCAGCAGAAAACTGGCCAGGATTTGTTTTTTGTTTTTTTGTGGCGTCTAGGTAGAGATAACTAAACGAGCTTTCCTGTTGGTTAGGAGAGCTGAGGAGAAGTCCTAACATCTTAGATTAATCATCTGCATCATTACGAAGTGACAAAGGAATCAACCAATCACGTCCAATAGGCAGAACCAATTTAGTCAAAATGTCACTCTAGGCCTTCTGGAGGTTCTAGATACATCACTGAGTGTGAATACAAGCAGCAGTCTAATCAATGGGTTGTAGAATATGTGCAATACTTGTAAATATCCTTATAGTGTAAATATTATTTTGCTTTTTTTATTTAGTGTTTATATTGTTCATTTTTGTGAAGGATAGAGTTTATAGTTTTTATCTTTTGTTTATTTTTCATTTTTATATATATTGTATATACAGTAATAAGTAACAAACTGCAACCTTGTTATAAATTAACAGCCTTAATACCTTGTTTGTTAATTCTCTTCTTGTTACTCTTTCTTGAGTGCCTTGCTATCCCTTTGCTGCTGTAGCACTGTGAATTGCCCCTGTGGTGGGACTAATTAAGGATTATCTTATATTATCTTATTTTATCTTAGAAATAGAAAACAGTGGTGGCAGCTCTATACCAGACCTCTTTACTGAAAGAGTCGCTGTGAAACCGCTACAAGGTTAAACATATGATACCATGTCTGTCACAAACTTCAAGTAAAACATGGATTGTCTTTTGGAAATATTTGGAAACAAATGTCTGTATTTAATCTAGAATCTGGCCTTTGTCCCACCTTAAATGCTACAGGAGTTACTTGCAACATTTCATAGATTTAATGGGAGATAAGTATGTTATCAGCATGAATAACTAGCTAATAATTATGACACTGACTAGCTGTATTTTTAGCCAATAAAAGCCTGGATTGTCAGCCAATAAAAACTAGTCAGCCAACAAATTCTTAGGACCAGTTGTAGACTTGGGGTCTGAGTTCCTCAGCTTCTTCCCTGAACTTATTCCTACCATCATTCCTTATACTGTGCTAATGCTGAACATGCTACAGTATTCATGCTATAATTTTTAGTGGTTGCGCTGTTGCTGTTTAAAAGCCTTTGCTGCACCAGTACTGAACGCTGTCTTGCCAGTTGTAGCCATCCCAAGTCGAGGCCTTAGATTTTCAATGTGCATCAATCAGTTTGTATGTAATTTCGTCTCTGAAATGCTCTGCTTGTATTTTCAGTGCAATAGGCGCTATAGTGTATGTGCTTTGGAAAGTGCTGGAAAGCAATTATTGTTAACATGTCTTCATTTTACTGAAGTAGGCAAACAAGGATTGTTATGTCTCTTTTTCATTGAGTCATTAAACATTAAAGCATTGCATCTTTATTATGAAATGAAAGACGTGCTTTAAAGGAAAAAACATAGATGTGCTTTCCTTTTTTTCTCTTCAACCGACACAGTAATGCAAAGCAATTAAGATGACAGGGCACTTAAGAAAGAATCATAATCCAATTTTCTAAATTATGAAATTTGTGCAGTATTAATCTTTCTTATTAGTCATGCAGTATGCAACTTATGGTAAAAAGAAGCATAGGATAGAGCACCCTTAGGGATTCAAAGGGCAAGAGCAGACAGAAAAAAAAACTATTAAATTCATAATGAAAAGGGGAGAAAATTACATTAACCTTTCAAATCCCCAGCTAATTCTAAGACTCTTGGCCATTTGTAACCTGGATAGTAATTATCCCCTTTATTAATTCATGAAAAGCCATGTGACTTGTGAAGCCCATTATGTATTAAAATACAACTCTCATAATTCAATATTATGGGGGACGATGGGGTCGGACCTGTGTGCTAAATGACTAACAGTGCAGGAGGGGGAGGGTGGGGGGTTAAATGACCTTCAAAAAGAGTTACAAGTGTTCCCACCATGCTAATGCTGAGAAACATACAAATATACTTTGATAAATGTTGACAATGTTAACACAGTTATGTTATCTTCAGTGGGAGATCACCATTTTTTATTATGATGTTCTAATAGAAAAGCATAACCAATCAGCAAACCTTCATCCACTGGAAGTCAGATATTGTTGTGGAACACTGTCTGGAATCCTTCAGTCGCAGGTATTTGTAAATCTAGCTGTAAATCTGAATAGATTGTACTTTCTGAGATGGAACTAGTTTTCCAGAGGGAAGAATTTATGGTAATTGGGATGACAAAGCTTCATGCTGGGCCCTGAATTACTTTTCTGATAGGCACCAGTCTGTGTCCCTGGGACACCATAAATCTGATCTACTGCTGGTAATTAAAGGTGTCCCACAAGGCTCAATACTAGGTCCGGTCTTATTGAGTACATGCATCATTGATATCGCCGCCTCCAACTCAGACTGCAAAGTACACCTGTATGCAGATGACACTGTTTTATTCTGTTCTGATGATTCTCTACAGGCAGCAGTGGAAAACTAAAGTGATCTTTTCATGCCTTAAAAACATCTCTCTAGCATCGTTCTGAATGTGAAGAAGCCTGAATCATGCTGTTTTCCAGAACTGCTAATTTTGCACAGAAGCCATCCAGAATTAAACATGTCCCT